ATATATATATATATATAAGAATTCTCTTTTAATTTTGAATTCACATCTTTTAAAGTGAGTTTGTTATATTAGAGAATAAAATAAATATATATTCATCATTTAATTATTTAATGGTCATGATGAATTCTTGTATACATCTTTTAGACTTAAAAAAATGTAACTAAATACTTGTGCCAGTTCACTGGCCAAAATACGTCGAAGAATATTAATTCTCCTTCCCACAAGCAAAATAGGCCTATGCGTATGCAAACTTAAATGGATCATTTAATAGAAGCCCCAACATGTTGCCAAACCACTAGCATGGCTTAAGGACTATTATTATTGGGTCTTTGTAGAAGCAACCCAATTGATGACTTAATTTCGTTACAATTTTACTACTTTAAATAAGTCGTTGTAACAACTCTTTTTTAGGAGTGAAATGTTTTGTTATTAGTAATTTGTGTATCTATTTCCATCTCTGCCTTGCCCTTATTTTTACAACTATACGTTAGCATAATATTTTGGTACTTTCATTGACTTATCATGCCTTTTAAACATTTGTCTAAGGATCTAGAAAATACTCTTCATGCTTTTATCAAATAATTTAAGTATTCTCTCTACACAATTACACAATGATAGCAATCTTTAAGTCCAAACTGCAATTAACGGAATCCAAAAGAAACACTCAAATTCCTCTTTGATTAAAATATTTCTATTGATGGACCATAACTTTTAGATTGCTTTAGTTCCTTTTTTTAATTCTAAAAAATATATATATGATCAAAATTTATTGGTCGCTAACTTTGGGATTGTTACCTCTTTTTTATATTAAAGATTGTATCAAGTTGAAAGGACACAAAGAAAGATGAAGTATTTTCGGTATATTATTCGTCTCTTAATTTAGTTATTTATAAACAACTAACAATTGGTGCTTTCTTAGATTTACCATGCCTCCCAAGAATACCTCAAAGGATCATCATCCCAAGGACATTGAAGAGACGCTTCAAAGTTTGACAAATCAATTGAGTATTTTTGTCACTCGTATAGACAACAACCTACAACTCCAAAATCCTTGTCATGAGACTCTCACAATCATCATAGTAGATGTGCTCCATCCATAAGACTTCCTAAAATCCAGCTCCTACCTTTTGATGGCTTTGACCCCCTGGACTGGAATTTTTAGGTTGAATAATTTTTCATGTTCCATCAAACACCTTAGGATCAATGAATTTATATCATTTCCTTTTATATGAAAGAAGAAACACTTAGTTGGTTCAAATGGATGCACATGAACCATCATCTTTTTGATTGACCTAGTTTTACTCAAGCTTTTGAATTGTTCTTTGATCCTTCATCTTATAATAACCACATGACAGAGCTATTTAAATTATGCTAAACTAGCTTTATATATGAGTATCAAGCCTAATTGGAAACATTATATAACTGCGTTGTTGATTTACTTCCTCATGCCATTTTAAATTATTTCTTTTCAAGCTTGCATTTGACCATCAAAAGGGAATTAGCCATTCACCACCCTCCCACTATCACTAAAGCTATTGGTTTGACTGAGCTCATTGAAGACAAAATCCAAGATTTGAAGCCTAAATTTTTCAAAGGTTCCACTTCATCACCATGGCAAAGCAAACCCTCATCAATCACCTCATCCACCGTTACTCCAACCAATAGTGTCACTCAATCCTCATCATCATCACTCTCTATCAAACGTCTATCCCAAGTTTAATATAAGAACGTAAGGCAATTGGGTTATGATATTACTGTGACAAAAAATTTCATCAGGGACATAAGTGCGCACCCCTAAACTCTTGATTTTATTGGTATAAGATTCTTTTGAGGAGTACTCATTGGCCATTGACCAACTTGATTTTAGCCAGTCCATACTCACATAATCCCACATCGATTCAATCCACTTGCAATTATTCCCTCAAGCCTTTAATTGCTCATAGTCCCCACAAACCCTCAAATTCCAAGGTTCAATCCATGGTATTTTTGTCATGATCTTTATTGACTCCAAGAGCTCCCATAATATCTTGCAACCTCACCTTGCCTCACATCTACATTTATATACAACCTCCTACCCTTCATTTTTTATGATGGTTGAAAATAGAGAGCACATTACATGCTCGGGACTTTGCCTCAATACTCCTCTGGCTTTTTCGAATGACATTTTCTATATTTCTTGTTATCTTCTACCTATACAAGGTGCAAATATTGTGCTTGGAATTGAATGGCTCCGATTCTTGAGCCCATGGGAAATAGATTTCTCCAATCCAACCATTTCATTTAAGCATGACGACCCTCAAATCACCATTAAAGGCAACCCTACAACTCATCCTATTAATGCCACTTTTCAACAATATTGTCACCTCATCCACACAGACTCGGTCGCCTCCAACTACCTTTCTTTTCATGCCTTTCAAACTTCACCTACTGCGGTCACAGGGGGGTGGCACTTCACGCGCGTTATCCCTTCATGCCCTCTCCCGCGCGCCCTTTCAAATCTATAAATACATGCCCTTGGTGAAGGGCAGGTGTTTTTCCCCCCATTTCTTCTCCTTTCTGTTCTTCGTCTCCGGCGAGTTTTCTCCCTTTTCTGCGTCTTCTCACGGTGGTTCACGGTGGTTCTTGTGGCAGCTTTGAGTGGGGAAGAGGTGTTTGTGAGCCTTTAGGTACGCCTACCTACTTTATCGGGTTTGTGTCTAAGTTTTCTGGTTGTTTAAGAAATTTGGGTCTTTTTAAAGCATGGAGTCCGTAAATTATAAGGAGATTTATGAGTGGGTGAAGGATGATGTATTGAGGTGTGAGTCCTCCATAAATTCCTGGCCTATAATGGAGAGTTTTAACAGAGAACACGTAGTGTCACGAGGCCCCGAGACGTCTTAGTGTGTGAACCTTGTGTAGATATGGAGCCTGTGTGCGTGAGTTCGACTTCTGAGCGTTTCACTTTTTGTTACGCCACTCTCATTTCCAAACTTAGGGTTAGGTGGCCCCTTACTAAGTGTGAAAAAGGAGTTCTCTAGAGTTTGAATGTTGCCCCGACCCAGTTCCACCCAAACAGCTGGGCCTTTGTCAGGGGCTTCGAGGTTTTGTGTCTTGGGCTCGGTATAACTCCGACCACCAACGGTTTCTTTTACTTTTTTGAAGGTCGGTCTTCTAAACGTAGTAGTTGGATGTCCGTGAGTGGGGTGTCGGGTCGGGGCAATCAGGAGATGGCAAAGTTGTGGAAGCAACAGAAGGCTTTCCAGGTCGCCGGGTTAGAGGGGTCGGCGACCGAGAAGGTCGTTACTGCCGATAGGCCGACTCCCTTGATCAAAAGTGTGGCCGAGACGTCCCACAAGCGTCGCCGAGAAGCCGACAAGCCTATCTCGGTGGTGAACCTGGAAACGCTAGTAGCTGCCGAGGGAGATAAGGGCGAGGATGAAGTGCAATCCACTGAACGGACTTTGAGCATGTGCCTTGGGGATAACTGGGACCCTATGGATCTCGGGGCCGATCGTGGTAAGGCTTTATCTTTCTGGGATGAAAAATTTAATCATTCTGCCCATATTCATGAGATCGACCTGTTGGCTGGAGACAAAGATGACTTGGAAAAGATGAGCGCCTTTTCCATTGCCAAGGGAGTTGAGTCCTTGACGAACAGGCTTTCTGCCCTTTCCTTGATTAATGAAGACAATGTTCGTGAGATGGCTAGGGACCTCAAGCTTCAAGGAAAGAA